GGAAGATTCTTTACTTGATTATATATTAGTATATTACATCTTTTAGTCTAATTTGTATTATAAGAAGACTACTTCACTATCATTAGTCATTGGAAAAAAGGTCTCTTTATTATCACGAACAAGTTATTTAATAGAAAAAAAAAAACTTTGGATAGATAGTAAATATCAGTTTCAATTTCAGTATTAATTATGTGTTTAATATGCAAATTATCATAAATATAATCAGCCATGATTCATTTTACATAAGTTTTTTTATAGTGCAATTTTATTAATTTCATGCGAGATTTATCATCGCCAACAAATAGGGTTGTTAATGGGTTGGGTTGGATTGACCCAATCTTCAACCCACTCCACTAAATTAGACTTACTCCAATGTTTTGCTCTGGGTTGCTCCAAAATTAAAGGCATAATTTTAAACCCACTCCAACTTGGGTTGGGTTCTACTCCGGAGTGCTCCGGAATAAGCTACTCCATTAACAACCTTACCCACAAAACAAGATTATTGCTACACGAACAATACAGTTGTGCAAGACGAATCGCCGACGCAAATATATTACTATGCAATAATAACACTTTATGAATGCATGTTAAAATTATAACGACTTGAAGTTTATTGATCACATTATTTTTGTCATTGATTGTTCCAAGATTACAACTCTAAAAGATCACAAATTACAATCCAGATTTTATACCTTGAAAAATGCAGAAAATAATAATTAATATTAGGAATGTCAAATAAATGTTGAATAAAATCATAGATAAAAATTTACCACAGTTCCGGAAGAAGAAGCAATACGAGGCCAAAGATCGGCACATTCTTTCCCTACGGGGCCAGTGATTGCAGAACCTTTCATTTCACCTTTTGGGTTTACGATAACACCGGCGTTATCTATAAAATAAAATCTTAGCTATATATTGAGCCAAAAATCCAAATTATCAATTTCATAGCTACCTTCAAAGTAAAGAAAAACACCATCTCTCCTACGCCAGGGCTTTCTTTGTCGGATTACAACAGCGGGCATGACTACATAAGTCAATTAAATCAAATATAGTAAATAAATCTGCGATACAATATGTAAATATGCTGCTCTATTTCTTTACCCTTTTTTCTTAGATCAGGTTTGCCTTTTTTAACAGTGGCCATAACCATGTCACCAACTCCAGCTGCCGGCAATCGATTCAGTCGACCATGGATACCCTTTACAGAGATGATGTACAAATTTTTTGCTCCAGAATTATCGGCACAATTCATGATTGCACCAACTGGAAGACCCAAGGTCATTCGAAATTTGTTACCAGAAGCTAAAAAAAAAAGACGCAATTATCGTCTGTTAATATAAATAAATGATTTGCGTGTGCAATAATTGAAAATAAATTATATTTACCACCACCGCGTCCTATCGAAGATGTATTATAAAAATATATATAAAAAAAATTAGCAATCAATAAAATTTCTTGGATAAAACGAGGTAACTTCTCCAAAATAAAAAGTAAAATATTGTTTTAGAGCGTCAAAAAAAAAAAAAAAAATCAAGCCGTTAAAACCTAATTACTTTCACGATAGCTGAAATGTATCTAGGACACATTATAATTGGCTTGTCTTTAATTTACATAAAAAAATAAAAATTATAAAATCACCTCTCTTGGACATTTTAGCTTATTTGATGGTATGGAGGGTGTAGAGGAGGTTCCTCTAAAACTCACGAAAATTTTTTTTTGTAGCATATATCACGTGAGCGTGAACATATCAGTCGATCGACATTTAACGTGATAAAATTTCGACCTTTAATATTATAAGTCTTTTATCATAACGATAAGGTTTAATTAAGTATAATTAAAATAATCTTAACCTTGAAGTTTGCATATCAGTGACGCATCAAATGTCAGGTTTTGACACGGCCAAAAGGCATAACTACAGCATAACGATTTTCCCAAAAAATCGGACATGTTATCTGAGCCAATAGTGTATCGGGTCAGGTTAAGGAAGGAAAATATAAAAAATCGGTTTCAGAATTCTAGTTTTTATAGCCGAGGGGTTACATATGAAAATATCAAAAAATCTTGCTATTGCATTTAAGGAGGCAAGAATCTATAAGTTTCATATGAGTTTGCGATCCGTTATCTGTTTTTGGCCTAAATTAAGCTTAATTCGGGCCGAAAACAGATAACGGATCGCATCTCTAGTTGGGGCCATGCATTTAGAGAAGTTTCATTTAACAGTTAAGGGAAGCTGCATTTACGTACGCAGTGACTATATAATTTAAAAAAGCAAATTATTTTTATAATAATCAGTGGATAGGTAAGCTTTATCATTATTATGGTTTATACTGAAATACACAGAAATTTTTATCATCTCAAAAAAATCTTTAGTAATGCTAGACATATTTAAAGTTTCCTTCCATACAAATACCCTCGTACTATTCAACTCAAAAGTATAGGATCTTAAATTGCATTTTTGATATCCAGAGCCTTGTTTTCGTCTAGTTCAACATCTTTCAAATGTCAAATGTCAAAGCACGTACTTACGTACGTACAGTACGTACTAATTCTCATAATTGATAATTGAATAAATTGATA